GGGTCAGACCGTCCGAAGAGTAAATGGTTAGCAGCAGTTTAGCCCCCGAACTTTTGCTCAGGTTCATCGGAGGAGGGTTGCATCCATTGATTGATTAAGCTGTCTGTTTTTGCGGGGTTTGGCAGGGGCCGCTGAGGTGAGGCATTGACATCCATGTTGCATCTTGTGCGTGCGCTGGTCGCTTGGCTGCTCTGCTGCAGTAGCTGCATGCTTGGGCCAGGATAGAATGATTAGAATATGACTGAGAGGACGTCTATCTCTGTTTGTGTTGCATTGGCCGAAGCACTTGGTGGAACCTCGATGCAAGTAGCAAGGCCCTCCGTTTGGCGTAGCAGTGCAGTGTGTGGTTAGGTAATAACGGCGGGCAGCTTTACACCCTGGGGATAGCCCTCGGTCGGTGTCCGTTGCGGGCGTGGGACGGCCGCTTCTTGGGATAGCCCTACAGGGTCGCGGCGACGGCAGTGTTGAATTCCCTGTCGTATTCCAACTGAGCCGTCGCAGTCAGTCAATTACAGAGCAACGAGATCTGCCTCCCCAGGCGCCCGCGACTAGTGCCCAGCTGGCCCGTCCGTGGGGCGATATGACACGGATGTCGGCTGTCTGCTTTTCTGCTTCGTATTTACTTACCCCATAAGTCAGTAATGGGCATCATAATATGGGGTGGAGCTTTCAGGGTCACGATGGTCAAACTGCTCTCACGGAGTAAGACGGAGGAGTCGAGTCGAAACTGTGAAGCCCGCAGCCCTCGACCCCTTCTCATTTCTCTCTGCCGCCCACCGTCCGACCTCCCTCAGGTCACGATCCTCTGTGGGGAGGGCTGATTGCAGTGACAGACGCAGACAGCCACGCATATTGGCTCTTCTGATTGCATGAGACAAACGGAAATGAAGCGAAGTAATGTGAGGCCGTTGGTAAGGTGAGGCCAGTAACGGACAGCGATGGGACTTTGCACCGTGGCACCACCGTTAGCTGGATTGCACCAATAGGAAGGCGCAATGCAGCCCCCGACCGGCGGGACCGTGTCCCTTGTTTGATATCAAATGTGATGTGATGTGCTCCTCAATCAACCCTCTCAGACGCCCAGCAGCAACAATCTGCAGTCTCCTCTACTCGTCGTATCCATTGTAGAGAACGGGCCGACTCGAATCGCCCGTCGAGGGCTGCGTCTGATGCTGCCAACCCCATCAGACAGCCTGATTAGCTCCCACAACCCCCCTCTGTCGCCCCTCCCCTCCTCCCCACATCACACACTGGAGGCCTGGTGCTAGCGCTTGGGCTCGCTGGGCTCCTTCCATGCGTTAGCGTGCCCTCCCCGTACTTCGTCCCTTGTGACTGATCGAATGGAGCCCCCAGCGGCCAGCCCCATCTCATCACCGTCTTTTACGCCTGATCGCCCCTGTAACCTCCTGCTGGTAGTGGCACTGGTGCTGGTGCCTGCCTGCTGCCGACCAGCCCAACCCAACCCTCCATCTCTATTATCTCCAGAATTTCTGTCCGTTCCTCCCATCGTTCAACCACATCTCTGTATCTCCAAGCCGGCCCAAGCTTACCCTCCATCTATCCATCCTACCCAGACATAGACTAAGGTACCGAGATATCTCGCTGAACACACTACCACCCCTCAGGAAACCTCCATTCGATCCACCCCTCCCCCGTGCCGCCATCGACTTCAACCCCAACCCCCGGACAACCTTATTCGTTTGCTCAATTCTTCTCTATACATGGCGCCCTTCTCCCTCTCGTCTCCCCTCCTTCGCCCAGTCCTCACCCGTGCCCGCTTTTCGGTCTCCGCCTGCGGCCGCGATCAGTTTCCTACCCTTATTTGGATTGGACTGTAGCTCGCCCATATAACTTTTGGCACCGCCAGACCAAGCACACCTCGTCAATCGATTGATTCCCCTTCTTCTGCCAGCACACCAACGGCCTGCTTCCAATAAACTAACCCCCAGCACACTATTTCAGTTGGACCTTGCCCTGTCCTCTTCGCTTATGCGAACGGCCCTCTCCCAGCTCCTCGCCATCGCTTCGCTTTCCCCTCTGTGCCATTGAGGCTGAATTGTCTTCTCCCCAGTGGGATTTTTCTCTTCCCTCGGACTCTGATTTACGCCGAGACAGCCTTTGGTTCGGCGCAATCCAGGATGTTGCTGTACACGAAACTCGCAGCCCCAAAGGTCCCAAAGACGCGATCACGAGCAGGTGAGAAAAAGAACGAATTTATTTTAAAAAAAAAAATTACATCCATGGCAATTCCGATTCCCAATGCCTTCATACATCCACTACCTAGAATGAACAAGCTAACCAGACGCCCTCATTCTCCCATCTACAGGATGTAATTACTGGTATGTATTCCTCCTTCAGACCTCTCCTGCACGGGCGCACAGCAGAGCTAACAATTGTGCTTCTCTCACGCAGTAAAGAAAAGGTACAGTTGAATCCATCCCAAACACAACCGCTTCTAGTGCCGAGGTTATCCTTCCATGTCCTAAAACTCACACGCAAACCTACAATATAGAAGAAGAAATGCGACGAAGTCCGCCCCAACTGTGCGCGATGCCTCGAGCGACGACAGGAATGTGTCTACGAACCTGTCAAGCCCCGACAACGGCGCAAGCGCGACAGTCTTTCGCTCGATACCACCAAGGCAAATGCTGCACGACCGGACCGGGCCCTGCAGATCCACACACCCCTCTCTGCTGTCTCGATCCAGCAGTGGGAGAGCCAGCAGCAGAGGTGGAGGGACGGCATTGATGGGCAAGGCGACGACAGCAGCAGTGACGGGAGCCGAAGGACCGGCGGCATCGAGGCGACCGAGTCGGTCGTGCTCGACGACCGGTTAGGACAGGTGCCCATGTCATCCAGCACTGCCCGTAGCGATTTGGAGACGTATTTCACTTCATGGACGCCGGCAGATACCACAGCTGTCTTCTCTCCCATCACGACGACCACGTTTGACCTTGCGAGCCTCGATGAGTGCCCAGCCGCTCACGACAACGACAGAGATGTGGAGGAAGTCATTCGTCGGGACTCAGCCGCAGTCGCAGCCGCCCTCACCCTTACCCACAACCACCACCATCACCAAGAACCAACACCGTTCCTCGAATTCTGTTCGCCATCCTTTGCTGAATTCTCCGGCCGGAAGAACCGTCGCTTCCTTGTCGATCACTTCTGCAATGTTCTCTCCCATCTCATCGTTTTTCGAGAAGAGAACGGCAACCCCTTCCAACAGCTTGTCCTTCCGCTTTGCCACCGAAGTCCCGCCGTCATGGATGCCGTGTATGCGCTGGCTAGCGCTCATCTCGAGTTTCGCGGTATAGATCCAGGCGAGAAAAGCGACATTTTCCATGGCAAGGCAATTCAAGAGCTTGCTGGGCTCATTGAGCGCGGAAGCAAAGAGAATCACGAGAATCGGAATGAACTCCTGGCTGCAATCATGCTGATCGTCTATTATGAAGTGGTATGTTTGCCATTAGCTGTCTTTGGGAGCTCCAACTCACGCTCAAACATTTACGACAATAAACTAACGTTGGTTATCTTTACAGTTGGTCCAGCGCGGGCGGTCAAATATTGTGGATGGCCACCTGAAGGGCGCCATGACCCTGATCAACAACTCCGAGGCGAGCAGCGACCCAACAAGTGTCTTTCTAGAACGAGTACGTAGCTGCACAAAACCCCCTGCTTCCCGTCCTACTTTGCTGACTAGTAATACCCAGGCCTTCGGTTTCTACGACGTCATTGCTGCATTATCCTTCGGCACGGCACCGCTCTCCCCTGCCCCCGGCCGAGGGCAGCTCTCTCCACTCCCAGCCCTCGACCCACGAGGCGCACCCTCAGCCTCCTCCGGCGTAGACACCCTCCTTGGCATGGCCACCACCCTCTGGCCCATCATCCACCGCCTCTCCACCCTCGTCAGCCTCAAGGCCGAGCTCGAGTCTGCCACGGCCCAGGGCCAGGTTTCCAAAGTTGCCGTCCTCCGCACCGAGCTTGAGACGACCACCGCCGCCATCCAAGTCGCGCTTACCCAGTGGCAGCCCATCCTCCCACCCGAGGACGTCTCCTCGTCATCTTTGGAGCCAGAGACCCTGAAAGAGCGCACACGCTTGCGCAGCATCGTCAACAACGCGCACGCCTACCGCCACTCGGCGTTTGTGTACCTTTACCGCACGATCCGCAAGTACCCGCGGTCGCACGCGCTAGTGCAGCAGCATACTCGCCTGAGCCTACAGCACTGCGTGGGAACGGTGAGCAATGAGGGGCCCATGAGCGCGCTGTTGTGGCCGCTGTTTGTCGCGGCCTGCGAGGCAACGGACGAGGGGGACAGGGACCTGGCGAGGCGGTCGTTTGTTGCCATCGACAGGCGGCAGGGGATGGCAAATATCGACCGCGCGTGGACGGTTGTGCAGGAGGTGTGGAGGCGGGCGGACGATGAGGAGAAGGAGGAGGAGGCCATGATGGCGGCGATGATGTTAATGCGCGATGTGGCGGGTGATGTGGCCTCTAGGAAGCCGGCAGATGGCCCAGATGGGGCGATGGTGATGGCGGAGAGGAACGGCATGGTGATGAGAGGCGTCGGTGTTGATTTGTGGCGGAGAGTCAGTCGAGACATGGGACTGACGATTGTTTTTGGTTAAAAGGACAGGGCTTCTTTTGATTATGGTTTCGGAGCATAGCGGTTCTGGTGACGGGGTCGGTTGGGATACAATACGAGGTCGGTCTACCACGGAGAGTAGAGACAGGCCATGGAGCCATTTGGTTAATTTTGCGCAGCAACTTAGTGCCGATATACAGAAAAGACCTGGTTATGGGAGTTGTAAGTGGAAACGGTAAAACTGCATTTCTGGTTTTGGAATTGAATACGGGCGAGTCAATTAATACCCAACAGATATTGAAAATAAAGCACATTGTTGACAAACTGGCCATCTCTCCGCAGCATCGCCTCATCTTCGCTTTCATCCTTGGTCATCCCAATCCTAAGATGTCTTGGGGAAAAGGTTATCTAACAGCTATGCCCTAGGCGCCTGAACCGCCTCTTCGTTATTGGGAACCGAAACCTGATACTCCAACGGCAACTTCACAGCCTTGCCGGGCTCCAGATACACCAGCCACTGCACCTGTCCCCCCTTCCTCAAGTGCGCCGACGCCCGCCCCCACGCCTTATCCCCCTCCTTGAAGCTCCTGCCGGCCACGCCCGTCGGCTTGCTCTCGCCGTCCATGACCAGGCCCTCGGGCTGCAACAGGTCCACGCGCAGCCGCTCGTCTTCGGCGACGGGGATCTGGTCGAGCACGAACAGCCTGGTGGCCTGCGCGGTCCACGTCCTCTTGTTCTCCAGACGCACGCACCGCTCGTACACCCTCACGTCGTCCTTGGCGAAGAAGCCCCGGGCGGCCTTGCGCACCTCGGGCGGCGGGTAGGCGACGGTGATGGCCGGGTCGACGCCGAGGTTGAGGTTGAGGTGCTCGCCGACGCTGCAGCGGGCGAGGGGGATGCGGCCGAGGAAGCTGCCGTCGAGGGAGACGCCGGCGAGGCCGCGGGTGAGGTTGATCTTGCTGTCGTTCTGGAGCTTGGCGCTGAGGTAGGCGGCCGGGCGGTACTTGGCCACGACGGTGTGGCGGAAGGGGACGTCGGGGAAGGCGATGCGGGCGACGCGCTGGCTGGTCGGGGTGGACCTGGGCGCGAGGGTCTTGAGGCCCGGGAGGTCGTAGGTTGTGGTGAAGCCGGTCTGGTCGATGAGAGACTCCTCGAAGCTGAGGCGCGAGTCCTCCCGGCCGACGGTGCCCGGGTCGGAGAGGGCTGCGTCGTCGAAGGGTGGCTGCTGGCCTGGCGCGGCGGGGAAGGCTTGGGGCTGGGGGTGGTTGGCAGGGGTGTTGGAGAAGTTGATGACTCCCTCTCCTGGTTGTGTTGCCTGCATCTGTGCCTGCATCTGCTGCATCGCTTGCAGTGCTTCCATTGGCAAGCCTTGCCTTTGCTGTGACTGAACTGGTCCTGCCTGTGGCATGCTAGCTCCCACTCCGGCCTCCTGTCTCGCCATCATCACGCGCTTCTTGTTCTGCTGCTCCAACAACATAAGTTGCATTTGATAGTCTTGCAACGAATGGTTAGACCCATACCCGGCCGCATTTGGTCCGGCTCCCGAAGCTGCCGGGACAGGTGGTGGGTGTGTGTTGGATGAGGGATTGTCGATGCCAAACATTATAGTCCTTGGCTTCATATCCGACCTGGGATGTTGCGACTCCCAGAATCTTGAGCGCAGTTCGACTTCCTCGCGGCTCTTGGCGAGGGGATCGGGCCCGTAGCCATCGCCCTTGGGCTTGAGAATGATATTCCAGGGCTCAAGAGTAGGAGCAGCGTCCACAAGACCTGAGAATGCTGCTTGCGACGTGGAGAGGGTAACCTTGCACCTCTCCCAGGTCTCAGAGGTGGTATTAGTGATTTGCGCATCAAAGCAGATGATGCCGGTGCATTTCGTAGTATCGAGCTGGATATCGTAGCTCGGCTGCCAACAGGCTGCCCCGGTAATATACGAGAGGATCAAGTCGCAGCTCTGCAACATCACATCCTCCGGGGCCACCGACTCGCCCTTTTGGACGTTCTCAGGGATCTCCCAGTCCTTTTCGCCCATGGCCACGTCGACACTAGACGGTGCAGGTGTGACGATGCCAACCTCAAGCTTGATGTGCACGGCGTAGCAGTACTTGGGCCAGAAGCTCTCCCTCTCTGCTCGGATACGGTTCTTCTCCTTGACACGCTCCTGCTCCCTCAACTCCTTGTTGCGCCGCTCGACAGTCTTGCGCTTCCGGATCTTGGCTGTCTCACGGTTAGCGCGAGTCATCTCTCTCTGATGCCGTTTGATCAGCCGAGCGCGTGTGGCCTGAGCCTTCTGCAGCTCTGGCTCGAGCTTGCTCTTGAGCTCTTGAGCTTCGAGGCACTCTTGGTGGGCCTTGATGCGTTCGTCTTTGTAGGTGGCCATTGCTTTCTCAATGTCGATGTTGTGCTTGGGGTTGAGCGAGTTGTAGTAGCCATTGAGATACCTCTTTCGGAGTTCAGTAGACTGGACGACCTCATTGGCTATCTCGACCTGGTCGTTGAGCTCTGACACACGTGCTTTGGCCGCGATGAGCTCTGGGCTCTCGCTGACCTCGACGTCTTCAACGTCCGACTCCTCGTCCGACTTTTCCTCGTCATCAGAGTCAGGGTAGACGTCGGCAAACAGCTCGTGGTTGGGCACGGGCTCAATGCTGATGTCGACGATGGTGGCTGCGCCATTGCCCTCGACCTTGATCGAGTGCTCGTCGACGGTAGGGGTGAGTCCCAGGATGGTGATCTCATTGGTGCCAGGGCGCAATGGCACATCTCTCACATCACGGGAGACCTGGGCCTTTGTAGGGAACAGAGTCACCGACCTGGTGCCCAGGTCACGGATGTTGTACTCGACTCTGGAGATGGAGTCCATGGTGAATGGTTCAGCAAGACCAGGGGGCCGATGCACCAGTGGTTCCAATTGGAACTTTAGGTCACAAGGAATAGATGTTGTGTGTTCGCGTGAGGGTGACTGAACCAATTGGCTTCAATGAGTCAAGGTACGGGAGAGAAGAGATGAAGGAGATGGACGGAACGCCCTCGATGGGATGGAGAGGGGGGACATGCTGCCCATTTAAAGAAAACCATCTCGCCCAAAACCAATTGGCGACAAGGCGCTCCAGGCATCTGGTCTGATGCTTGGTGAATTGGATGCCTTGCGGCTCGCAGCAGACTGCCTGGGAAAGGCGACAAGCATCGTCACACAAGCCAATGGGAGAGCTCATTCTTGGGGTGTTTGGCCGGTCTGGCTACCCTGTACCATCTGACAGTGGCACCATACCTCATTGAGCAATTTTCCAATCATCCGCCCCTGTCAAACAACTGTGGATCGCATGGGTCTATGTGGGTCTGATGCCTTTAATTGTTCTGACTCTGTTAGACGATGAGATGAAACAAAGTATTTTCCAACAGCTTGGTTAGGATATTTACTCTCCTTTAGATCCTCATCGAATTCTCTGATTACCTCGCGTAGTATTTGATGGCAGTGATGTGGCCACCCTTGCTTTAGGTGGACAACACCTCATAAATTTAGATCGAGCCTCGGCCCTCCCGCAGCACAGAAAATGGTTCGGAAATTCAAAGATGATTGAATCGTAAAAAATTAATAAAGCCAGTGCATCTTCCGTCACAGATTTCATATATTCCTGCACTTTACTCGTCTAGGTTCAGCTATGGATAAAGTATAATGAAGGCCACCGCCCGCCAGAGCTTCGCCCCGGGCAAGAATCAACGGCTATTCAGTTATAGTTCGAAGACTGGTGACTCAATGCTGCACTCTTCCAAAGTCTTTCTTCAACTCCATGGGAACTATCCCAGTGGATTGGGGGCCATGAGCCTCAAGATGTTCAAGCCACAAAAACCTTGAAGCTGCTTTTCGAACCAAAAGAATGAAGAAATATAGTTTCAAGTAGCAGGGCAGGTTTAAAAGACATAGAACTCCTCTTATCTTTTTCTCTAGATTCTCACTCGCCCACCATATTCACTCTCCGAATTCCTCATCTCCAATTTCGATTTCTTCCTCAATAGCACACAGACTATCGAACTGCCGTCTGTGGCCATAATCAAAATCAAACTCTCAATGGACCGGATTCACGGGCTTGCCGACTCCGCCAGAGACTTCATCTATGGAAATCGACCTTTTAAGGGAGGGGCCGATATCAGTTACTTCGCCCATGAACAAAGGCTTAGGAAAGAGCCCAGTCTTACGCAACCCGGGCTTACCCTTCTCTTCCCCATGGACGAAAATGCCTACCCGGAAAACCCCAAATTTGATACTCGCTTCGATGGAGGTACACTTTCCATGACCATGCGTCCAGCGACAAGGGCGAAGCGCCTCGCCACCTGGCAGGCGGAGATGGAATTTTACGTCAAAGACATGGCTTCTCTCATGTTGAACGGCCTGCACTGGTCCGAGGCCAACGTGGAGAAGGCGGGCGGGTGCATCTTGGTTCCGTCAGACAAGATGCCCAACTTACCACGATCCCTGGGTTGGTTGTTTGGTCGCCGCTACGTGCTTAAGGACCTGGGTGACGACCCCAAATGGAGGGCCACGCTGTGGTTCTATGGACGGGACTGTGCTGAGCTGTCACGGATGAAGCTTGATGACCTCTCTGTTGAATTAATCCAGCGTGCGAAGGCTACTGCTCCGGGTCTAGGCGAGGTCTATAAGTTTGACCTGGTTCAAGGGAACAAGTACAATTCGAACGAGTTATATGGGTGCAGGCCGCTGGAAGGTTGGTGGCCATGGCCGAAGGAAGAGCAAGCCAAACCATTGGATTTTGACTGTGAAGCTATCGTGGAATGAGTTGAGTTCTTCCTCGAATATTTCAAAATTGTGAACGAAGAGACCGCTGGCAACTGTCGGATCAGTTGACCCAAGCATAGCATTGTTATTTCCAGAGATGTGCGATTAGATGTTCAGTATCTGAAATTCATTGAGCGTTAATATTCAGGTATAACTAGGTGTTATTTGCCTTTCAAAGAGTCCAATTTCCTCCAACGCGATAGAAGTGATCATCTTCCTCTGGAATGTGCTAGAATATGAATACAATCGAAAAGGGTAGGTTCGAAGCTGAGATGGGGACTGCTTTGGGCCTGCCACGGAAGGAGGTGCTTGGCACGCGGATGCTGCTGGACCGTACGTGCCTCAATTAATCACCAAGGCTGCTCCCCTCTGCATGAGGTAATCAGCGTTTAAATTGACTTCTTGCAGTTGCTTGATTAAGACCACCGCCAACTATACTCCCAACAGCCGACGAACAAACCCTACCGCCAGAGGTCCCGTACGATGTCGATGCGATGTACGACATCGCTAGGTTTCATAGCGGGAGAATGCGGGGCCGGTGCGGCAGTAGAGTGTGGGGATGCGCCGTCTGGGCTCTGCTCGTAAGTTGTCCGAATCCGCAGGGTTCAGTCAGATCCCAGACCAGCCTGTTGGGCGAAACAGACACAGCACGCAATATTGACAGTTAGCCAGGCCTGCAGCAATCCCCCATGGCGCCATCCCACTCACACCGAGTCACCTCGGTCATTGTCTGCGGCCACCAAAATAGTAGGCACCTCGCGAGCTCGCTTCCAGCTTCCTCCACCCACCACCGCCACCCTGCCTTCTCCTGAAGCCAACGCTACCCTTCGACACGGCAATAACCGCGGGGATTCAGGGCCGCGCGGACATCGAAATGAAGATTTGACGGGCAAACGGGATAAGGGGGACACACCAACTTGTTGGCTGGCAAGGCAACAAGGCTAGTTGGGCTTGCGAGGGTGTGCTGCCATCGCCACCAGATCTGCGCTGTGATCTCACTGTGATTGCATGTCTCGTTTATTTTCTTTTTTGGCAGCTTACCAACCAATTGAATGGGCCGGTGCTAAGAGCCATCACACCGAGAGCAGCCTGGGCAGCTTGCAGACACGACATTATTGCACGCCGGAGATTTAGAGAAAGGAAAGGGTCTTGCTCCGGGTGGATGGCCATTATCATACCCACCCGACAGGGGAGAAAACAGCCCCAGTTTCCAAGAAAAGAAAGCAAACAACATTGTAAAGCAGCGACGAGTCGGACCAGCTGCTCCACTCCCATGCTCCGTCTTGCTCTTTGCCGTTCCGTTTCCTACAACGCTGCGTGGCATCCTGACAGGAAATCAAGGCTGGCCCCGTTTTGCTAGATCGCGGATTCGCAACCCTCAAGAAAAAGAAGCTACCTGCTAGTTTCGATTAGTCCAAGCTACTGGAACAGCCGCTCGGCGATTGCTTGCTTCTGTCGTCTAAGCTAGAAAGGAGGTAAAATTGCCGCCGACTGCCCCCCCCTCCCCCCGGGGGGATCAACGGTCCATCCTCCGAAACAGGAGTGATGGACGGCTGCTCTTAACAATGAGCGCGTCAATAGAGGTGCAGATTGCCCCCCGGGTGTTGCGTTGCCCAACCCGATGGTCAGACAACAAGCATGCTCGTTGCACATCCGGGAGCACCCTATCGCTGGGTCCTGCTTTTTCAACGCCCTACGATGGAACCGTTTTGATTGCTGCCTACTCATGCAAGTACATCCCAAGAAGCCCAAGCAGACGGTGCTCATTTGGCTTCTTTGCAGGTGGCTTGCTTTAAAACCACACGGTAGGAATGCTCGGATTACCGCATTGGGCATTCCCCTCTAGTGCAACTAGAGGGAATCGTTCAGGTCTGAGAAAAAAAATGAGACGATGAATCACGAGGACAGAAGAAGTGGCAGCAATAGGAATAGCAGGATAAAGGATAATAGGCTAAAAGAGGAGCATTGATGCGGGAGGACTAGCGACAGGTACCCTGCCTGCTTCGTCCAACAGGCTTTAATGCGCCGCGTATGAGTGAGGTGGTGGTTATGCCGTGCCCGGTCGGTTGCCACCACCACCACCATCAGCAAGCAAGGAATCAAGCAACCCCGCGCCAGTTCCTTGCCCCCGGAGTCTGTGGGTGATACAGAGCAGAGAGGTGGCCATCAAATGGAGGTTTCTGATGGTAGAGTTGAAAGTGCTGACCCTCCACACACCGTTATTTGGGAGGAAGAGGACTCGCTCGGGAGGTTGATTGCTCACGCCTACTAGTAAGACAGCCCCAGCCATCGCGCTAGACTCCAGGTTTATATCACCCAGATGGTCAGATGATCAGAGATTGTTTCATACGTACTAGTGAGGCTTCTAGTACACGTGCTTAGCCACGCCATACTCGGTAAGATTCACCTGTCACCCCGGGATCGGATGGCTTTGGCTTGGATTTGAGAGCAATGGCCCACCCCAGCTTCTCCAGCTTTTCGAGAAGAAAGGGTCAATGTGCTCCTATTGAGATGCGAATCTGAATGCTGGCCTGTATAGCACGATGCGCCTTGCATTCCTTCTTACACCGGGTGCTAGCCAAGCCGTCCACTGCTGTCTGTACACGATGGTGTATAGCAGGGTTGCTTGACTGCTGTTTCAACAATCCAGTGTTGCAGCCGCTCTTTCGGGTCAATAATAATCGCTGCTATATGCGTGCGCCCGCCGACGTCCCTTGGATGACAAATTATTACCATCAAGCGTGACTTGAGCGTTGAACGAAAGTGCTCTACTGCCGAGTTCGATCTAGCCAAGCTTCGTGCACCGAGACGAGGACTCAATCTATTACTCCTAGACATTACTAAGAGGCCAGCTCTCGGCATATGGCCAGCAAGGCGGGACAGGCCTTAGGGCGTGGGGAAGGAGAGAGAGGATCTAGCCGGGAGAGTCGGGCAGGGCATGGGCAGAGAATGCAAGTTGGGATGACACTGATATTGAGCCTGTTACTGAGTAGCGAAGTGAGCAGTCGAATCGGATCCTAAAAGCGCCTCCCCAGAAAGTTGGAGACGGCAACCATCTAGCTCAATTCAACGCTAGCTCGAAAGTGTCACCTGGCCCGCGAATCCTGCACCTTGCATTTGCCAGCTGCTCTGTAAAAGTGGGCAGGCGGGCGAGCTGGCTGGGAGGAGGGAGAGGATGAGACGGAGTGATGTGATGGCGAGGGCTGGTGCTCATCTCTCTCGTTCGATCCTGGTGCTGCTCTAACTCTGCCCAACTCTGACACAGTGACACTGCAGCGCTGCCGCTGTCACAGCCCAGGCAGCCAGTTCGAGCTGCAGCCGGTGTGCCAACACCCTGTCCAGAAGCCTCCCCGCTGTAATTGGCCGTAGCCCACCTGCCAACCTCCCGAGTCCCTGTAGCGTGCCCTGAAGGCCCAAATCATCCTCCCTGTCGTCCTCAAGCGACGGTATGAGGTTGCTGCCTCATTCATCCTCCTGCTCGCGATCGAACAGCTCCTCCCATCCATCCCCCAGCTTTCTGCTCTCCGTCCATACACGCCTTACTTCTGCCCACCCCCTACACCACACCCGACCTGCCAGCCTACCTGCTCGTCGGCCTGAGTCTTGCTGTTACTCGCTCGCTTGTCGGCCCTAGCTGTCGTCGTCACTAAATGAATAATCCGTTCCTCCACCGGGGCGAGCCGCCCATTTTCCACTGACCTTCTCCGCCCCACCAAGCTGTCTTCCATTGCCCATCATCGTGAACACCTCCCTCCCTCGACACACCTCTTTTCTCCCCAATCAAGCATCCCTTCCGCCATGTCGGCGGACGTGATTCTTTGAATTGTCGACTTTGCAGCTGATCCTGTTACCCAAGCGGCCCAGCTTTAGGCGTCTATCTATTACCCGTGTCTTTTTTTTCTTTTTCCCCCTTCTGTCTCTAGCTGTCCATGACCCGTTTTGATATCCATCCTGTCAACCCTGCTTAATCCATCCATCCGCAAACAGAAAATATCTCGGTGCGACGCAGCCAATCCCATCCCGACTCTAGCTCGACGCTCTTCCCTAGCCAAGGCTCCTCGTTTGCGCACTATGATCGACGAACTATGGCGACAACCTTAACGAACAAGAAGTACGATGCCGACCCTCCTCCGCCGCCGCCCAGGCAAATTCGTTTCGTCAATAATCAGGGCCAGCCTCCCTCGAAGCGCCGTCGGATCACTGCTGCGTAGGTCTTCTTTACCTCTCCTTGTCTCACCCGCCACCACATGTTTGAAGACCTTGGCAGTCGTGCACCACTATTGGGCATTGGTCTACCTCATCACATGTTAGGGTTGCCATCACTAATAGGGAGGGACGAACGGATCATGAGCTAACCATGCCTCGGCTTTCCTCTCCTGCAGATGTCTAACATGCCGCCGACGAAAAACGAGATGCGCTGGCGAGCGACCCAAGTGCTCTACGTGCACAAAGAACGGGCACAAATGTCTGGGATATCCGGAGGAGAAGAAAGATGGAGGTGATGCGGGGGATGGCAAAGTCGACGACTTCGAGGAGAGGCCCGACATCGAGGACAGTATTGAGGAAGACGACAAGAAGCCAAAGAAGCTGGCCAACATCATCACCACGCAACAGCCGCATCAATCGCGTCGCAGGTCGGGCCCTGCCTCGTCACCACAATCGAGTACCCGACCGTTCACGAACCAGCATGGCAACACAGCGTCCCCGACGGTGCCCAGCAAAGCGTCGGCATCACCCACGATGCTGAACGCGCCGACAGCTGCGAGCTCAGCCCACCCCATGCCGGCTCAGTCGATGGCGACGCACAACTCACTCACATCGGAAGACCCAGGGTCCCCGAGCATGCGCCGGAGCATAAATCACAGCCATCGGGTGCCATACTTCCGTTACTTTGGCCCCACGGCCATCGTTCCGGGATTCAAGCAGATGGTCGTATCTGTTCGGGACCGGCGTCGCTCCACCAATGGCTCACACTCGGGTGCGTCGCCGCTATCGAACCC